ACATAGGCCCCTTGTACGTCCCACAGGTGTTAATAATCTCTAAGGTTGAAGGGATAGGAAGAAGTTTCGGTCAGCGCCAGCTTCTTTTCCTATGGGAACATGGTACGTAATGACAAAAGAGGACATGATTCAAGCGGCAAGAACAAATTTGAGAAGTGACTCCAAGGCTCCCAATGATGATGGAAGGGGGAGGTTGTGGGGTCAGGAGGTTTTCAGAGTCTCAAAGGTCTTTGGTTGGGAAAACGTTTGGTGGATAGGTTATTGCTAACACAGACCTTCATGTGTCAACAAGTACCTCTTTTTCCAAATTGATCATTATCAAGAAAAACCTGGTTTATGCTGAAGTCTGATTACACAGTACCTGCAACATGTCCTTTCATGGCTCCTATCTGACCCAGCGACACTCCATCTGTGTCCCCCACTTCTAACTCTTGACTGTCTGCATTCTGTTATCTAGTTTTTACCTTTTAGATTCATTCTTTGCTTCACCTCTACAGACAAAATACAAATGCAGAACAATGAAAGCCAAATAATTCCCCCCCAGAAGTGCTGAGAAGTGGGAAGATTTATGCAATGGGAAAAATGAATAAAGATAGAGGATATGATCAAAGAGGGAGTGTGTGTGTCCAGGTTTAATGGAAAACCCCTCTCTTCTGCCAGTTTTATTGCCTTAGGAGAGCAACACAGTGGTGGCTGTTACTAGTATTCTACTTTATGAATAGCAGCTCCTGAAAACTCTGGCAGTACACCTTACTTCATTTGTCTAACTTGCTAATGGGGCTATTATTCTCATGCCAACAGATAGGATTTTTCTTGCACATATGTTTCTGTAGGGGGAAAAAAAATACCCATCACATGAAAATATAACCCATAAACTGTAGGGTTTGAATTGGCTGCATATTGCACAGTCTTGCTATACCTACTTCCATTTTAATTATTCTTCTTTACAAATAGAGATAGTGGCCTATAAATGCATTATTAATGTAGAATATTTCCCTTGTTTTTATAGGCTTTGCTAAAAGCCATGTTGAATTTAAAGTTTTGGGTTATTTCTGAGTGAAGAACCTCATACATTTGGATAAAAACCAACTTCTAACATTTAATCTTAGCAGGATATTTTATACACATTAAATTTTATTGAAAAGGTCTCAGCTATTTAAAATCCGTCTCACCACTCACAGGCATAAAGGCTAAACTTTGAAGAATCATTGTCAGTCATTCTGCTGAACGATTCTCATTAATGATTGTCCTTCTGTCCTGATTGTGTTTGAGGAGTAAAGATGTTTCTTGAGGAAGAAGTACAATTCTTGAAAATTGAAGCTCTTGGTTATTCTAGATGTGCCATACTATCTAAAAGTAAGTTGTCCACTGGCCTCTTCAAGTGTTCATAGGCTCACAGAAAACTAAGATTTTCTGCCATAACAAATTTATTCTAATATCCAAGAGTGATATATGACATCAGAAGAATAACAATCATTGAGAATTAGAGCAGGAAGAGACCTTTCCTTATCATCAGTCCCACCACTATCATTTTATAAATGTGGACACTGTGCTCCAGTGATCCAAATGATTTCTCTGGGTCTAGGATGGGGTCCCGATTTATAAATCTCGACTCCCAGGGCTCCCTTTAGAGCCCGAAATACTCAGAGAAAAATTCTGCACGGGTAGCTTGGTCAAAAGACATTCTGGTGACTCTGGGCAACTCCTGGCTGTAATTGCATGAAACGGGCCTCTGATTCTCTTCTCAGTTAGATACCTGGCTTAAAGAAAGTGATCCATGTGGACTATAGGACCTCTAGCGATACAAGTCTGTGATGGACAACACTACAGGCTTCAGAAACTTGGGGTAGGCTCCACAGGTTCAAAGAGCACTGTGCCTAATGGTGCCTTCAGCTAGGTGGTGAGAAACACATCACTTTAAAAAGGGATACTCTTCAATGAGCACTTGTCTCCAGTTTCATGATAGCTTCATCAGTGAAGCAACGAGGTACTTGCAATAGACTATGAGAAATGAAGGTAATGAGAAGTGAAGAGTAGAAAGAACTAGTCTCAACATGGTTGTCTCACTAGGTGCAATAAACCCATGCCATAAAGTCAGTAAAAGGTAGATCAGCTGAGTCACATATCTAAGGAGCAAGGGTAATTTGTTGTTACCAAAGACGATTTCTTTGGTAAAGGGAAGAATATATATATATATATATATATATATATATATATATATATATATATATATAAAAATATTTTGCTATGTGCATAATTCTTTTAAGTTCAGATTTTCCTATATTGAGTCTATTTTTGTATTTTTAGGGGTAGTGGGAGGGTGGTAGAGAAGGACTAAATAAAGGAGGACAGCCGATTACAGAGGAAGAAACATTTTCGGAGTCAAGCAGTCCTGGGTGAGGATTTCAGCTCCTCTGCTTTTTAGCCATGTGACCTTAGAGAAAAATTACCTAACACTGCCTACACAGTTGTCATGAGGAGTAAATAAAATTATAAATGTCATGAGGAGTAAATAAAATTAAAATGTGAAAACACCTAGCACAGTCCTTGGCACATATTGGAAGCTCAGTAACACGAGTTTCTCTTTCCTGTAATTTGTAACATAATTTAACCCACAAAACCACCTGTTGTTTATTTGTCAGAGGCCTGATATTAGTCACTCTAGAAAAAAAGGAAATGATGACTTCTAGAATCACCTGCTCTGTGAATATCATGTGCTAAAATAACAATTAATAATAATACTTTGTGAAACTGATTATATCTGAAGGCACTTACAGATAGAATATGACATTTCCAACTTGGGTAAGATGATAATGACATTGTGATATAGAGAAATTAGGGTCTTGGAGTGGAACTGTCAATTCAGAATTATCTTTCAAAGCTGAGAGAGGTAGGAGGCTATTAAAGAATAAGACAAGACGCATTTCCACTGCTCACCTCCTAAACCTCTCTTTAGTCCATCTCTTCATTTCTATTCTGTCACTTACTTTTGGTTTAGACATCATCATTTCCTGCCTGGATGTTTGCCAGGAGGTGAAATTGGTTTTCCTGCCACCACTCTCACCACCTACTAATCCATCATCCGTAATCTCTCCAGAAGGATCTTTGAAAAATTTAAACCTGATTCTCTGCCTCTTCTGTTTAAAATGGCCCCTCATCACCCACAGGTTGAAAGCCAAGATCACTGGCATGCTATTCAAGATTGTGTGTTAATTAGCCCATGCCTACACCATAGCAGTCTCTTGCATTACATTCCATACTGCTTACATTCCACTTGTGCCTAGCAGTGGACTTTGTACCCCAGTGAACAACAGAGACTTGAGTATCTGCACATTTCTGTGCATTATTTCCTCTTCTAGGGATACCTCATCACCACCATCTTCCTCTGTTTCAGCTTGACTAACTTCTGATGGTCTTTCAAATACTTGGTCAGGTGTTATTTTTTCTGGCAAGTGTTCTCTTGCCTTCTTGGCATCAAAAGTATATGTTCTTCTTATTTCCTCTTAGGATCACATGGGCCTTCTCCATACAGAATTGTCATTGTTTGTTAACTAAAAGGGCTTTCTTAACTAGACCATGAATTTCTTGGTGTCAGGGAAGCATCTTTGTGTCCTCAACATCCGGCACAGCCTTGGCTTTCAGAAAATGTTACTTTGTGGGTTCATTCAGTTAGAACTGGTATCATTTGGTCCAAATTAAAAGCTTTATGATTCTGACTTTGGCCAGACTAGGTGATCACAGCAAGTAAAGTAGTAGTAGTAGACAACAATGCCAGAAGGTTCTGTCGACATGGGGAGTGGATGGGAGACTGGGTCTCCTCCCCTAACATGACATGACATCCATTCCTTTGTGAAGCAGTAAGATAAGGAGAGGCCAATCACGAAATGTTACTTATAGCTGGAAGGAATTTGAGGCCATCCCACTGTTTCTGAGAAGCAAAAATAAAGTGCCGAAGAGCCCTGCCAGCATAGGATGGTTAGTGGCAGAGCTGGGTCTAGAACTGGGTTATCTTACTCCCCAATCCAGTATTCACCCATTTGTCTTTTCTACTCTAGCATAACTTTATTTTAATTTTGGGGTGGGGTGGAAGTAAGCTACTTTGCGTGCCAGCTTCCCTCTTAACTGGTCAGGCTGCCGAGATACTGCTTACCTGGTGAGTCATGTCAGCACCTAGGGAGACTCTCCTGCTTTGATATGGGGCTATTCAACACTTCACAAAAAAATAGCTTAGGGGCTGCAAAAAGGCTGTTGACTCTGCTCTTTCTTATTTATCCCACTGGCATGTTCTCATGAAATTACCTCCTATTTTCCTCTCATTCTCCTTCCCTGCCTCAAAAAAAGAAACATCCGTATAATTGGATCCGTATAACTTATGGAAGGGCTCCAACATCAGCCAATGCATATATTAAGGTTTTAAATCAATTATTGTTCTAGTACACACCCCGGGGTTGAGAAAGAAAGAACATCCAGGACTAACAAACCTGATTGTTCTGGCAAAGTTGCCATTCGATTCATGCTGGCATTTCTGGGCTTTTCTTTTCCTTTAATATTCCAACCTCATTAAAAAAAAAAAAAAAAAGTTAATGGCTCAAGTAGCAATTTTTAACATTACTGGTTCATTCAGTTTCTCCATAAGACTTCTACCTCCCAGTCTCTTGAGGATTACCCAGAGGGCATGATGCCCAGAGTTTGCTTACCTAGTTGCAGAGACAGCTGTCAGTCTGATAGTGAGTTCATTAGACTGTGGATTATTCCTCACTTTATTAACTTCTGAGCAAGGGAGAGACTCAGGCTTGGCAATATGAGCACTTCACAACTTGGCATTCCAGATTGAGAAAAACACTTAATCATAACAGTTAAGAAATTAAATTACAACTGTGTATAACATTGTGAATTTTAACCTAACAATTACTCTGAGTTAGACCTATACAAGTTTCTGATTAACACTGTTGAACTAAAATTCCTATAACATATGATGCATGGGTCTTTGTGTTTTTTAGGCAAGTACTGGAAGTCGGTAAGGACGGTGAGTGTGCCGAGGGGCTGCGCTCTGGCTGGGGCGCAGTTGCAAGAGGAGACGGAGACCGTTTCTGCCCTGGCCTCCCTGACAGTGGATGTGGAACAGCCCTTTGCTCGAGAAGACAACAGGTACGAATGCAACATGGGGGGAATCATCAGGGTCAGTAACATCCAGGCTCATCATTAGCGCTTGTGAGCCTCTCTCTAGGCTCTCCTTCTCCGGTCTCCTCCACTTCCACTTCTGCGAAGCCACAGATGCCACAGCACATGCTGTCGGCTGTCAGGAATTCATGTGTTTCATTCTTCATGAGAAACACAGAGGTGGGGCATGTTGTTACAGTTCACAGAGAAATAGAGTGATGAGATAGATGGTCCTCGTTGGATAATTTAGTACAGATCATTATGGAGAAAGCTTCTTGTGGGCTTAACTTCTTTCCTTAGTTATCTCTATTTTTCAAGATGTTCTTTTTCTTTCTCTCATCATTTCGAAGTTACTGATATAACAAAGGGGAAAAAGGAGAGCAGAAGCTGGAGGTATGGCTTGTCAGTTGGGTAGCCTTATATGACTGTCCGTGAGGTACAACTACTCGATAAAGATGAAAGTCACCTTCCAAGAAGATGGGAGTGTGTATAAAGGAATGTGTGGATGTGGGTCTGATTTTATTTTACTTTATGATAAGAAGGAGTTGATTTTAATTAGTCATCATATGAAGAGCTTTCAGGAAAAGAAAAAAAAAACATAAAGATAACCAAAGATTGAGTTTGCTTCTTCTCCTTTTAAGAAATGTTTGTCAATTTGTACATTTTGCTGTTCAACAGACAGTGCTACATTCAGGATTTCTTTTTACTATGACCAAAACCACCCCAAATGTACAGACAGTGACATTGGTGCTCTCTGTGGATGACTTCAAAGTCACATTTCTTCAATTTAAAAATGAATAGGTGAGCTTGCACTAAAGCTCTGCCAGCTTGCACTTTTAAATTGCTTCTGAGAATGAAATCGAACTCCCTCCGTCAGTAACATCACCATTAATTACACAGATCCTGCTACTAGTACATAGGTTGGCAATTTTCCCAAGAATGCACAAATATGAACAGTTTTAGTTTTTCTTGCTTTTACTGGGTGTTCAGAGTTTAATGGATTTAACATCTTGCTTTGGTCAAAAGCAGGAGATACATTGAATAAGAGATTTCATTTTTATGCAATTGTTTTTCCTAACTATAACCACTTAAAAAGAAGATTACCAGTAGGAAAAAAAAAAGTTGTACAATATTGTATTAAAAGATATCTTCATATGGGCATCTGGAGCATAAGGGTAAACTTATTTTACATCTTTGATAATATGAACTAACCCCCTGCTGTTCCCAGCTAAGAACCAAACCAAGTTCATAATCCAAAGGTGTTGCAGTTATTCCCAAGGCCAAATACAGTTAGTTGTCTGTCATTTGAGGGCTGTAAAACTAAGGAAACTAACATCTGTTAGTCTTGGATATAAAAGGAGCGTAGCTATTCTTTAGAATTCATTTAGTATAGAGAAACGAAGCTAAATTCCAGCCTGAGTGAAATGAATTGTAAGTAATTTTTCCCATTAAATTGCAGGGCTTAGAATAATGAAGAATAATAAGTGCTGTTGTGAGCCCCACATAACATAAAAATCTCAGCACTTTGGCAGGAATTGGCTCTATAAGCATGCTTGTTTATCCTCAGGTACATAGTGTGCTTGACTCCTGATCATCTATAGGGACTTGACCCTGGCTTCAGTTCACCGTGATTTTTAAGCTTCATCTGATGGCAGAGAAAGAATGGGAATGGGAATGTTTTGATGTACAGGGAAACAGTTGAAGCTTGTGGCCTGGATTCATGTTTCTTTATCAGTTTTAGACAGATTGTATCTATTTTGATTGATTTTTCTTATGGGAAGGAAAATGGTTTTGCTTGAAGTATTTTTGGTGGCTTTGAACTCACTTTTTCAGCAGAGGAAAAGAAAAATTCTTCTAGAACTGGCTTTTGCATTTCTATTGAACCATGCATGAATTTCATCACAGAGAATCAGACAGGGAGAACCCTTAAAAGCCACAGAGCATTTATTCTTTAAAGGGGAATGCTATCAGAATTGTCCCCCAACTCAGTATAGGAAAGATGGCTTTCACAATGAGGTAAAGAGGTAGAAATGTTCTTAGGCCTTTGTTATGAATGCAGTGTTATAAGTACACAGGAAATTGAAAAATTAGAAAAATCAGAGAACTAAATGGATGGAAAAGGGTGAAGGCAAGATTCTTTTTATAGGAAATTCTTGCCAGTTATTTTGGAGAATATATTGGTGTTTGGAGTGAGATGACTCATTTTGTACTAAGATTTTGGGTAAAGCAGCTCTTTTCCTGGCCAACTCATATCTGACTCATTTACCACTAGTGAATAAGGGATAAAATGCTCCTGGCTAAGAACCATTGTAAGTATTTTTTGTTCAGTTTTGGGGGGGGGTGAGGGAGATGACAACACAGTGCAAACAGTCATTTCATTTTTATAACTCACTGATGGACCATGAAGAATAAATTATTAGAAAAAGGCTCGGGATTCATTTTGGGGATGATTGACTGAAGTACAGTTTTCAAAACATAATTTTCAGGTGGCAGAAGACTTGAGCAGGAACAAAATGGTGGGTCAGTTAAAAAAACAACAAAACAAAAATAAAGGACAAAAAACTAAGTGGGGTCAAGTTATATGTTCAAAAAAAATAGATAGGACTAGTCACATATAGCATATTGTTTAGAAGACAGAACTGTGATCTTAGTTTCTTTCTTGATTGTCAGGAGACTGTACCTTTAAAAGATTATAGTTTGCATTGTTCAGGTATCTATTTCAAATGCTTCTACTTTGAAAAGGTCAGTTCAATATTGAGGTTTATTCTTGGATACCAGTTCGGGCTCTGCTGAAAATCAAGAAAAAGTTTTCTCTGGCAATCAAGACTTCAGAATGATCAACTCTTAAGTTACCGGGAGCATATTTACACTCTAGAATTTCTGACTCTCTCGTTTTTTAATCAAAACAAAAACTGAAGGTTAGGTTTTCAAATGTCAGTTTATTGATTATAGTGTGAGTCACATTAGATTTTCTTTAATACAAGAGGATCTGGTTGTTTCTGAATCATTTCATCTTCAACTTTTGTCAACTTTTCTCATGAATGAGATGGTTTCAGTCATTATATGACACAGAAGCATGAGAAAAATATATGATTCTGAATCTGGCTATTTAATTAATTTTTATTGGAGTATGGTTGCTTTATAATGTTGTGTTAGCCTCCACTGCACAACCAAATGAATCAGCCATACACATGTAGATATCCCCTCCCTTTTGAACTGCCCTCCCATTTAGGTTACCACAGTGCGTTAGGTAGCGTTCCCTGTGCTGTACACTATATTCCCATTGGCTATTTTGTTTTCTGAATAACTGTCTTATTCATGAATATTTTTTAAAAGTATAATAAGCTAGAAAATCCTAAGCATCATCCGCCTTAGCTTTGGATGGTCTATCAGTAGTGTCAAGGGCATTGATAACCCCATTTTCCTGTGTCTGGAGATTTATATAGAAATATAGACCAGTCTTAAATACACATTCGTGTCTAATAGAAATACAGCTTTGTTTTCCATGCTTTAGGATTGTCTCTCCAAGGCTTCTGGAAGCTAAATGTTGCACTGATTTTTCAGGTCTCTGATTTTTCTCTCTGATACCATTATTGTGAGCACCTGTTTATCTAAACAGGCAAACATTCCAATATAAATTTTATTCTTAATTTTCATCCAGTGTCAACAATACCTTAGTTGAAAAGTGGACTGAGATTTGGAAGCTCCTGGTAAAAGAAAGGAGCTCCTTTATCTTCTTTTCCTCTTCCTCCTGGGACCATCATTTTATCCCTGTGTTCAGTGCCTAACACGTGGTCTTGGGGCATGTGTGAACTCTTAGTATGTTAGGGATTAAATCCAGTGTGTGATGTATTTCAGGGTTCCCTTCTGAACTGTTTACAAACAAGTGTTTAATTTGAAAAAAGAAAGACAATGGACTAGAAGCATAAGTAAAATGAGATGCACGGTAACTTTAGCTTCCCGTCATCCTCATCTTTCAGTCCTGTCTTCTTACCACTACAGAGGAAGAGTAGGTTGTGACTCTGGAATCAGCTTGCCGAGGTTCAGATCCCATCTCCATCTTAATAATTGTTGATCAGTGGCAAGTTACTTATCTCTCTGGGCTTTACTTTCTTTGTCTTTAAAATGAAGGGAAAATTTCAGAGGGTTTTGAGGATGAAATGAGACAATACATCTTAAGAATTTAACATAACACTTGACACAGAGTAAGTACTCAATATTAAGGTTGGCTTTTGTTATTTTTTTCTATCTTTTTCCCCGCTTGCTCAGTTTGCTCTTTTCTTTCCCTCCATTAATACATTGTTCATCATCCAGGGATCTATAATATTAGAAATAGAGAGGCTGTACCTGGGCATCTATATGTTTAACCGTTCATAGGTTAAATCAATAGTATAGTCATTAAAAATAAAAGATTGATAAATAATCACTAAGCAATAAATTCAGTTAACTAAGCTGTGATTAGCTGACTTAAAGAACTTCCACAATACCTAATACATTGTAGGTAATAAACAAATACTTATTGAATGAATGAGTCCAAGACAGACAACAAGACATTGTTAAAATGGTAACAGGACAATTTGTCAGGACAATTTGTAATGATACCTGAAGTTTCTTTGTCTCCTTGTCTCTATGTACTATGTTTTCTGAGGGAATCAGTGTTTTTATCTTTCACAAGAGTTTTCAAAATGTGTATTTTACATTTTTTCTTCCATAGTACTAATCGACAGGGTCCATTTTCAGATATGTTGGCTAACCAGAATCCATAGTACTCGTATCATAAAGATCGACTGACTGAGGATAAAGGTGATAAAGGTGGGAAGGGAAAGCAAAGTGTCTGAATGGAGAAAGGAATTGTCTCGGGTGAGGTGGAGGGGCTATGGGAGTGATGCTGACAGATTACAGATTTATTCCGCGATTTGCAGAATGAGGAGGGAGAAACTCCGGTTCATTTATTCTTTAAACATTTTCTGATTAGTTTTTATGTGCCA